ATCAACTTAACAGAAAAAATTGCAGTGTTTATTGATAATCAGAAAAAAAAGTTCTTAAAAGTGTCATATGGTTTTTTATCATACCATATGACACTACTTAAGTGCTCCTTCCTCAACATTAAAAAAAAAAGGAAAAAAAAAGTTTAGAACAAAAATTGTTCAAACAAAAATTCAATAGGAAATTTCCGTTTTTTTTTGAGAACAATTAAAGCATTGTTGTTAATTTAGCAACATCGCCTTTAAGCTTTGTTGATAACAATTAAAATTGAAGCAGCAGCAGCAGCAGCAGCATTTTTGCAAAAATAGAATCTGAAAGAAAAATTAAAACAACAATAGATGCCAATATATCTGTCTGTGTCTGTGTGTGATGACGATGATGATGATGATGGGTAGATGAGAAGAAAAAAAAGACAATAAAATTTGGGAAATAAACGAAAAGTAATTTTCTATTTTTTTTTCTCCTTTCCTTTATTTCCTTAAAAAAAATATTTTTTTTAAAGTCAAGTAATTTCATCCGTTAACCTTAAAAAAATTTTCGTTCCTTAAATCATCTCATTCTTTATAGGTTTGTTTTTGCATTGATTCTCTAATTGTAAACATAGGACAATCTAAATTATCATATTCATTAAATTTTCCCCTTCTTCTAAAATAACGCCTTCTCTTCAGCTATCGACGTTTCCCCTATGCTTCTCTTTTGCCCACCCACCCACTTCTTCCTTTAGCCCTTATTTATTCTTCTCATATCGTCGTCTGCACACATCAGAATAACAACACCATCAACCCCGAAACAACCGACCCAGTTACTTGATTTCTTTACATCCAAACCATCCTCCAAACCATTTTATAAAATGCCGCCTCTTCAAACTTTTTTTTTTTTCTTTCAGAGTTCCTCAAACTTCAAACTACATAAGAGCTCAAAAAAAAAAAACTTTTTTTTCAACCTAAATTTGCCAATATGGTTACGGAAAATCGTTAATGAAAAATCAAAACGGTAATCTCGTTAAAAGCACATAGAGTAAAACATAATTATTGCTAGCAAAAACTTGCGTCCTTTTCAAATTCAATTAAAATCGTCCTTTTTGATGACCATTTTCGTACTGCATAAATCATAAAATCTACCAATGCAGCAATGTTGATTTTGCAAGTGTAAAAGGTAAATTTAAAAAAAAAAATTGTTTTTCAACCCTGTCTGCTTAGTGCCTCTGAAACAAATAAGAAACTACCGGAAGGAAAAATTGAAATTTTAAAGCTACAGCCGAAAGTTATCAAATCGGACCAATAAAAGGCAAAACTTAGAAACCATGAATCGCTTTGATTCTGCAAAAGTCACATTCTATATTTCATAGA